CGGTCCGGTCGTCGAGTACATTTCCCTAGCTATATCCGAGCAAGCTAATCCACATCGTTCCTCACTGGAAGGGGGGTCCTGTGGGAACACTCGGTATAGCAAGAAAACATTTATTGTTGTGTATCAATTAAGCCTCTACATTTGTGCTGACTTAGTTAGGTCGCGACACACTGCGACTAACTAGGTCAACGGCAAATACATACACAAATGTAAAGTGCTGAAATGTTCTTTGCCATTTAAACCATGTAAATAAATTTTGTATAAATACTCTGTAAATATCCGAATAAATTAGTCTAACACCAGACTCACTATTATTCGGATGCTGATAAAGTGTCAAACCTTGGAAGCTGTGATTTTGTGCCAATCATCAATGATGCATGATGAAAATGTTTCCAATGATATTACAAATTGGTTCTTCTCAGAACCACAACTTTTGATAGTCACACCTTACTACGACCACACGCAGGGTGACTACAGTGGTGACCCCGACGTGATACGCATGGTCAGTGATGAACTACGATTGATGACCACAGCCGCAACCTTTTTGAGGATGATCTGCCGCCGTCACACATTCTCCACCGGCCAGTCCTCATCAGGACTACATTGGTCATCCTGCGGAGCAGCGCAACCCTGCTCCTCAGCAAGCAGCATGTAAGCTAACAACACCGCCCAAGCCAGCCGCAACGTGACGCCCAACCTTGCCACAACACGCCGCCGTTCGCCATGTCCCTTGACCGATTGGATGTCAAATTGCCACCCTTCGTGCCGTCCGACCCCGAACTCTGGTTTTGTATTGTCGACCGCAGTTTTGAGGCCTACGGAATTACGTTCGAATCAACAAAGTTTGGGTATGTACTAGGCAACCTTGACCCTCACTATGCGGCGGAAGTGCGTGATATCATTGTCAACCCCCCGGCGACTGATCCATATGCCACCATCAGGGCAGCACTCATTGGGCATCTCCCAAGAAACATGGATGAAACAACTCCTCGAGCCAGGAGATTTGGGAGACAGGAAACCCACGCAATTTCTGTGCCATCTACGCGGTCTGGCCGGAACCACTCTGTCGGACAATTTACTGCGAACCATTTGGTCAAGTCGTCTTCCTCTTAATATTCAAGCCATCATCGCAACTATGCGCGATAAGAATCTGGATGAAACAGCCGTGGTCGCCGATTACATCATGCAAGAAACGCAAACACAGTCCATAATAGCAGTTACGGCCACACCTACTCTCCACCACGATACCATCCAACAACTGGCCAACATGATACATACCCTCCAGATGGATCTGAACAACATAAGACAACACATGGCAAGAAAATTGAAGAACCAACACCGCTCAAATTCACGCAGTTTTCTACCCCGACAACGTTCCAACCACAATATTAGGGCAAATAGTCAAGGGCAAGGCACACTAGCGCATCTCACCATGACGGATGACAACAAGAAATTAACCAAGAAACCACGTATGGCAACGACAAGTGAGGTCCACACAGCGCAACGTCGCCTATTTGTAACGAACAGAGCCACAAACCAAAAATTTCTGGTCGACACCGGTGCAGATATCTGCGTGTATCCCAAGTCACTAATACCTGGGCCACGTCAGAAATCCTCATTCACGCTACAAGCAGCAAACGGCACCAACATACCGACCTATGGTACTATTATTCTGTCGCTCAACTTAGGCCTACGAAGATGTTTCCCATGGCGTTTCATTATAGCCGACGTCACCAAACCAATTATCGGTGCAGACTTCCTAGCCCACTACCAACTGCTGGTAGATTTAAGCAACCAACGACTCTTGGATCAACTGACACACCTCACC